ATCGGAAGTCGTATCGTGAAAATGCTTGTTGAAAGAGGTTAGTTTTTGGGTAGCATCGACAGGATGTGGATGATTGCGTCACCACTGTGTTACACATGCCATTTGGATAGCTGGTCAGTCGATATGTATTGCATCGTCCAACCAGTTGCTTCGTTGGCCACACACATTTCTTGAAATGCACTTTTTTTCTGTTTGGAAAATTTGGCTTTTTCTGAATTTCAACGATTAGCAGCTTCATGTTCAGGTTTGATACCTTCGTCCACAGAGCATGTTTATCGCGAAATTGCGACCAATTCGGTTCCACGTGAAGCATCCGTCAGCCATGAAGGAAAGGAAGATGATGATGACTCAGATTTGGTATTTTCTATCACGCTGCTTTTCATTTTACAACAGACGTAACTGCTGACATTTCAAGGAAACTCGTCCTCTTACAGGATGAAGTTTCGGAAGAACTGCTTCGATGCCAAACTGAGTTGCAGGAATTGGAACCTAGGTTACGAGGAGTAATTTCTCACTGCTGGAGTAAAGTACAAGCAGAGTTTGCTCACTGGGAAACTTCGAAACAGTTGGATGATGCTGATTTGGATGTGAGTTCGGTAATTATTCTCAGTGGTAGGATCGGATAGCGTCCCTTGGAAATGTCCTTCATTGTTTCCGTGTTTATGAAATAACGCGTTTCTTGAGTAAGCCTTGAAAGAACCGTAGATTCCAGTAAAAGTAAGCGTTAACTTCTACTCCACACCCGACGTCATACTTTTAGGAACGTCCATGATACTCTAGCTTGCCGCTTCATTGTTTGAAAATAACGCTGTACGCTCACCTGCAATATAAATTCTTTGCACGGGTGAGCTGAGCAGGTACGCAGCTGTCTGACCGTGTCAATTTCGCTGCGCGGAATATGTGAGAATGAAAGTGGTGGTTGGATGTCCTTTTATTATTTCCGCCCGCACATAACGAAACAAGCCGTCTAGTAAGGTTATACGCAACACTGTTGCACCCGCACGAGTTTGACAGAGTTCTGTTTTATTTTTTTAGTTCTTCTGGCTTCGTTGCTTGTTCAAGCGTGGCCAATGGGAGTCTTTCTTTGGGAATCTTGAAACGCCGAGGGGCTGCAGCCAGTAAGTGAATAATGAGCTTATCCGTAACACGTGGAAGGTCTGAAAGAATACCTCTCCGTTCCGCCTTAGCCTCGTCCTGAGCTCTCCATTGCAGCGTCCATTAGTGAGATTACTAGCCGGAATCGAGCTGCTTGGACCAGGGCGATCCCAATCATCATCTTCTTCTCGAATCTCCTTTTTAACCTTTGGCGAATGCACTGAAGTGTTTTTATTATACGAACGGTGCTACCCAGAAAACAGAGTTGACAACAGGCCGTCACACTTACTTCGTGAATTGAGAGGGGATCGCGAAGAAAATCCGTTAACGTGCAAAGCACTATGAACTTCACCAGCACAAGAATTATGCCCAGCTATCTCCCATGGCTCATTCTTAACAAGAGCTGAAACAAGAACGAATGAATAACATTTCGTCCACTACGAGTCTCCTGTCTATCACAAGGCTCACTCACTTTTCCTGTCATCTTCACAGTCCTCACGTGAATGCAGTCTCGTGGATGATCTTCGAATAGGCGTCGTGAAGTCTTCTTTACGCATCTCGCGACTGGCGGCACAAACCACGTCACTGATCAGCGGTGCCAGTTTCGAATCGGACCCTCGAGTCACCCGTACATTTGAATTTCCCGAAATCTTTCGACTGCATGAGTGTGGTTGACTAAAGTAATCAGTCACAGAAAAATCACCCTCAAACAGATACTTATAATGGTCTAAACTAATAACCTTTTTTCCTCTTTCTCTTTGATCTTCTTCTCCGTCAAGTGAACATCTGAGCTCAACCGCCGTGTAGTTCGTGAACTCGATAAGTCAACAGAACTAATACGTGAACGACAATGCTGACGTTTGCGATGCTTCCAAGGCTCTGCAAAAGTACATTTCAAAAATCTCCAGGAAAATTGCTTTTTTCTATAAAGCACACTACAGTGCGTAACAAAAGTATGTGGACACCTCAAATTTTTGTCCTGCAAAATTGCCTTTGAATTTTGCGATATGAGACCTTTATTGTTGAATTCCTCATAAGCGAAAACATAGGAATACACTACTTCTGAACACTTTGTGGACTACTGAACAATTATTTATTGTTTTGAAAAAGTTTCTTAATAACAAAAGTATGTGGACACTTAACAAAAAACAAATGTATCGTGGAAAATAGAAGTTGGTTCTTCCTCCAGTGTTCACTATTACTTCGAACATTCTGTCTGGCATGCTGTGGACAAGATTTGTCATGGTGTCTTCGTCGATTTCCTCCCATGCAGCAACTATTGCCTCCTTCAAGTCTCGCACGCTGTTGTACTGCCGACTGTTCATGTAGATTCGTCGAACCATGATTCCCCACAGGATTTCGGTTGGGTTGCAGTCAGGAGAACACGCCGGCCAATCAATCACTTTGATACCATTGCGTTGGAGCCATTTTCTAGTAGAATTTGAAACATGCACGGCGGTGTTCTCCTGCTGCATCACATGTGTCCTGCGTCGTGGCCCGCTCAAAAAAGGCAAGAGGTTAGACTCAAGCACTCCTTGGTATTCCTCACTGTTCATACAGCACGATGGGAAGGCAAGCTCCAACTTTCCTCTGCTTCCAAAACCACCCCGTACCATCAAAGAGGCGCCTCCGAAATTTCGTCTCGAGAACACCAACGGATCGCTACAAAGGCCTTTCCAGTGATGCTGATATCCATCTGGACCGTCGAGATTGACTTTTTCTTATCAGTGAAGATAACCTAAGAAAGAAATGCGCATAAGATGTTGCCTTTCTGATTTTACAAATATCTCAAGAAACTGCACCTTGTCCCACGACGTCGCCATTTTGCACGCGCAAAGTTCAGTCTTGCCAGCTGGTGCCTAGCAGTCAGTCAGGGGGGGGGGGTTTCTTATTGTCCTCTCGGTGGTGTG